TTTCCCGCAACTCATCCCTCACACCCCCTCCACGCAATAACAACCAAAACAGAATCCCCCTCGTCCTCACGTACCACCCCACCAACCTCCGGATCCAACGCATCATCCTCCGACACTTCTGCCATCTGAAATCTGACCCCACCACCAAAGACATTTTTCCCTCCCCACCCTTATCTGCTTTCCGGAGGGACCACTCTCTCCGGGACTCCCTTGTCCGTTCCACACTCCCCTCCAGTCCCACCACATCCGGCACTTTTCCCTGCAACCGCAGGAAGTGCTACACCTCACCCCCATCCCAGGCCCCAAGAAGACTTTCCACATCAAGCAGATGTTCACCTGCACATCTGGTAATGTGGTATACTGCATCCGCTGTTCCTCTACATCGGGGAAACCAAGCGGAGGCTTGGGGATCGCTTTGCAGAACACCTATGCTCGGTTCGCACTAAACAACTGCACCTCCCAGTCGCGAACCATTTCAACTCCCCCCTCCCATTCCTCAGACGACATGTCCATCCTGGGCTTCCTGCAGTGGCACAACGATGCTACCCAAAAGTTGCAGGAACAGCAACTCATATTCCACTTGGGAACGCCGCAGCCCAATGGTATCAATGTGGACTTCACAAGTTTCAAAATCTCCCCTCCCCCTACCGCATCCCACAACCAGCCCAGCTCGTCCCTTCCTCCCTAACCTGTCCTTCCTCTCACCTATCCCCTCCTCCTACCTACTAACCTCATTCCGCCTCCCTGGACTGACCTATTTCCTCCCTACCTCCCCACGTACACTCATCTCTACTGGCTCCATCCCCACCTCGTTGACCTGTCTGTCTCCTCTCCACCTATCTTCTCCTCTATCCATCTTCTATCCGCCTCCCCCTCTCTCCCTATTTATTTCAGAACCCCCTTCCCCTCCCCCATTTCTGAAGAAGGGTCTAGGCCTGAAACGTCAGCCTTCCTGCTCCTCTGATGCTGCTTGGCCTGCTGTGTTCATCCAGCTCTGCACCTTGTTATCCAAAATAGTGTACTTATTTTTGAGGGGAATAGCCACAAGGGATTCCTGCACTCTCTGCCTTACTCCTTTTGCCTTTCTTGGTGGTCACCCAGCTACTCTCTGCCTGCACCTTACTTGTGACCACCTCACTAAAACTCTTATCATCTCGGATGATCCTGAGTGCATCCAGCTCCAGCTCCCTAATACTGTCTCCCAGGAGCTGCAGCTGGGTGCACTTCCCACAGGTGTAGTCATCAGGGACATTGGAAGTTTCCCTGAGCTCCGACATCCTGCAGGAGGAGCATGTCACTGCCCTAAATACCATCTCAATTGCTCCAAGATTAAGAGGTAAGTTAAAAGGACTTTACCTGAGCTTACCTGTACTTGTTGCTGAGCTGCTGCTCATTAAGCCTATCGTGCCAATGCCTTCCTTCTCGCTCTGCTACCAACAAATTAGCATGTCTCTCACCCCTTTTTTGGTTACAGGAGGGAAGGAAACACTACATTGATGTAGTGTTTGGGGCTTAAGTAGTCCTTGATACCATAAATCAGACTCCTATATGAGACAGCAATAAGGATTCCGTCTCCCTCCCTCTTGGAGAAAGATATGACTAAAAATAAGAGATGGTGCTTGTGGCAGAGAGCGGTTTGACCCAAATAGTCAAAAATAAAATCTGTTTTTGGAAGGGGCAGGACCAGATTTTCCAGAGAGAACAAAAGACAAAGCTAACTCTTTTTTATAATTGTGGCTGGAGTCACTGGCAGATGAGTATCTAAATGAGTTATTAAACTTAGTCTGTAATGAAATTTTTACAGTTCTGATTTTTTTTTTAAAACCATCTTTCCCTGTAGTTTTAATCGTCTGGATTTGCCACCATACAAGAGCTTTGAGCAACTGAAGGAAAAGCTGTTGTTTGCAATTGAAGAAACTGAAGGTTTTGGACAAGAGTAACTACTGTATAATAATGTCGGGAGAGAGTATTGTGCTGTCATTTGAAAGAGATTCTGTAAAGGAGGAATGCATTACACTACCTGTGCTTTACTTTCCAGTAGACATCTGTTTATCCAGGCACGTCAGGGCTGTTTATTTGTTTTGGAAATCCTGTGAGGAATGGCTGAAAAGCGTTTGTCTTGCCTTTTGAAACTCTGTCTTTACAAGCTGGAGAACTTAATATAATGAGGAAATTGTACATGCTTAAATAGAATTAATATGCTGTAATGAACAGTTTAAAACTAGTACGTTCATTTCTGTTGTACATGTAGGAGCAGCCAGGCTGATATTCCACTTTAGACATAAGAATACAGTTGGCTGCTGTTGATAATGTAGAGATGGTTGGGAATGGGCTTCCTGAAATTAATAGCATCTTACAATTGGCGATGAGGCAGAGCTGGAATTACAGAGCTGCTCACCGTACATAGATTCCATTGTTGAGCTAAGAAACAAACCTAGATTGTGTATATCCCTCCTATACTTTTATTTCCCCATTTTTGTTTCCTGTTCGTACCATGTTAATTGTGTCCTCATGGCCCCCTGCAGCAGTCTCCTCTCTTCCACGTGCCCCCCACCCCACCTGCCCCTCAATTCAGTCCTTGTCTTTACTAAAAGATGTATTCATATTTCGTTTTAAAGATTAATTTAAGTGCATCTCAATGGATTAATTTAATTCAATTTTTTAATTTAAGCAAGTGCAGTGAACTTCAGGGAGTCCTTACCTTGTGGCAAAGTTGTTTTATTAAAGTTTTTTCCAGCATTATTGATACTTGAAAGATAGGTGCAGGCTACTGTTTGGTGAACAGATGTCTACTCTACCTTTGCACCTTGCATTAATTATCTTTTAAGCAGTCTGTTAGAAAACCTTGTGTCAGTAGTGCTCATTATCCCAGATATACTCTTCCTCCTCTGTACAAAGGGTAGCTAAAAAACAGAGGCTTTTGCCCTATATTTTTAAAGGACTGAGATATGTAGATCAATCATAGCTCTAGTTTTATAGAGCTTGATTGGAAAATATTTTTGTGTTATCTGTGCTGACACCTCTGATTCAGGAAGGACTGCTGTATAATAATATGTTTTGTTTTTGGTTAGAGGTTGAACTTTTCCCATGTGCACCCCACACCCCACACCCCTCCCCCCACCCCGGAACAACTTTGTATTCAACTTCTGAGGATGTTTTAAAGTGTCCCCACCCCACCCAATCCCCATATTCAGTTTGAACCTGTAGCACTCCAGGGCCACCTTGATCTATGTACTTCTTACCTTGTTTTTGCAAATAAATCGGTGTAAGTTTCCAAGATAGGCGAGGGACACAAAACAAAATTTAAAAAGTATAGTGGAATAGAATGGTAGTTTAAAAGAATAGTAACATTCAAAAGAACATTTTTAGTGAATAAGCACCCTGTATGACCAGGACCAGCTGTATAGAATTTTTTATAATCCTCTTTTGACCACTAGTGTTTGCTTCATATATCTATTTGTGAAAGGGTTTTACTTTGTAAAAACCTTCCCATAGCGGTCCCTGGATATGAGTTCTCAAATAGACCCATATCATTTGGGAGACTCCCTTTAATTGTCCTATCATTTCCCTGTTACTACTTAGTGTCCCGTTCTTACTCCCAATTTAGAATCTAGTGTTCATCCATTTGTGACCAAACGAAATGTAAGTGAATTTCGCTCAGGCTTTCTTTCTGGAAAAGAAAACAAATTTATAACTTAGCTGAGAAATCATCCCCAAAATCGCCTCCAGCTGTTTGGGCTACAGATTATATTTCTATTCCAAGTTTTTTTGTTTATAATCTAACTTGTTATAATTTATGCTGGTACCAACAAGGGTACAGTAAAGACCTCAGCCAAGAGGCTTGTTTCTGGTCACCATCTAATACGACCCTGTTGAAATTGTTGGGAGGTGCATTTGGGTGAGGACAACACTAAGCTTGGCAAAAAACACATTCTCTAAGCCAACACATGCGTTGCAGTTTGGGATGGTTGATGCCCATGGGTCTATACCCCAGAATAAGTTGGTGGTTTGAGGAAAGGACAAAGAAGAAAAGAATCTTATATTTCAACGGTATCGACTGTTAACTGAATAGACATAGCAAATTATTCAAGAGGCTTTGGTACAGATTAGTTTGAAAATTTGATTGCAACTTCCAAAGATTCACTAAGTCTGTCTATTCTGGGGCAGGTTTAGCCTTTTGCAATATAAAGCAAAAATAAGAAAGGTCTATGTGGTTTACTTCCAGCTATTGCCTATGGACTGAAATTCATAGTTGAAGTCACTCCATCAGGATCGAATATATAAAATAGTATATACTCTCTCGGTTACTCAGACTCCAACGTTTCTTCCCTGGTTGAATCATGTCAACCAGAAGTTGCTGCTGCAATAATCGGTTTATGCTGACTTTGTTACTCTTCACAGATTAACAATTTTGTTTAGCAGTTAACAAAACACTCTGGGATAGCAAGAGGCAATTCACCTGGAATCCTGCTGTCGATTAGTATTCTGTGAATCATGCTAGAAAGTGTTTGTTGAGATCTTTTGAGGGCTAGACTGAATCTGGTTTTGATGTACACCGTACTTGAATTGACCCTGAACGCCTGCTGTCTAAGCTCAGGTGAAGTCCAACTGTTTGGGTTAGAACTGGAGCTAGTGCAACTACTCCAGCAAGAGTCAGTACTTTCAGGATAGGGTGAGAAGACAATGAGGTGAGGACACTTGGCAACCTGACTTATTTTTAACACAACCTATTCTTAAGCTAAGATGTATTTGTAATATATTTTCAGGATTTATCAATAGATATTAATTATGTATATAGAGTATCAGAGTTTGGTAGTGTTTTGTTTTTTGCTAAAACCTGCCAATTTTAGAAAGTTTGGACTTCAGTTTGCATTTGTAAGTAATCACTGAGTTTCCAGTTTTAAGCTTGGTGTTGGAGCATCCCAGTTGCCATGTTAATAGATGCATGTTCCTGTTTAAACTATGGGAATTGGTAAGTCTCAAGTTTGTTAATCCATGTTGGAGTTGAGTACTTGGTCTTTGAACTTCTGCTAAGAGAGAAAATTCAGTACATGTTCCTGATTGTTCGTCCATTAAAATCCCATACTTGACAGTGCACACATGGCCTTTGGATGGGAGCAAGACCTGTACGTCCTCCACAGTTTGCAGTTTCCACACGTACACAGCACCTGTGGAACTATATGCCAGCATGAGTCAGCTTGAGAGTTAGCATTCTTAGTTTTAAAGCTATGCAAACTATGTGGAGGTTGCTTAAACAAACTTGGGAAAGCAAGGACTTATTACTGTACTACAGTTGGCCAGAATAGACCAATAGGCTTGCAATGAGAATTCCCTCATCGTCATCTAGCTAAACTGCATGTCAGGTATCTTGGTTTGAGTGTTCTTTGCTCTGGGGACCTCTTGTATCAAGCAAAACAGGTCTCCTCTCATTGATTTGTAACATTCTGTTAGATGGATGTTGGGAATGGATTTCAGTGCATGATTGTCACCTGAATGACCAGAAAGAATCTCATTTCAAGAGCTTGTATTGTCTTTGGTGAATCTGTTTTTATGAGATGCATGTCAGCTTGAATCCTTTGTGAGCCTATTAGCAGAAAGTATATTTTTCAGGTAGGAGAGGGAATCTCTGACTTGAGCAAAATGTTACAGCCCTTGTAAAAGCAGTTTTTGTTACTGTTTAACATAGTCTCGGTAATCTTGTGTGATTATTGATCACAATGGCTTGAATACTGATGATAATTGAACACCTGTAGTTTATTGCAACACAAATAATACATTTATCTCCCAGTAAATGTGAATAAACAATTGCAGGAAGATTTTGGGTTGCAAGGACTGTGCTGCACAACACTTCTGCTTTATTTTTGCTGTGTTCCTTGCCACTAGCTTGTTACAAGTACAGTTTCCTCTAAATAGATGAATGGCAGTCTTGCGTTGTGCATTTCCCTGGAGCTCTGCTGACCAACAAGTGGAAGCAAGATGGTAAAGAACTTTGTTCCAGTCCTGTTTGCTAACCTTCCTTCTCGCCATCCCTCGCTGTTTTCTTTGAAAAGCAATGTACTGTCCATGCTTTTCTCTGATGCATTCTTTTTGTTGTGCAGCCTCTAACTGAGTCTTAACTTTTAACGATGTAGTGTACAGATCCATTCAAACGGCGCCTCCCCCTAACCTTTTTCAGAAGCAAGAAATTTAACGCTTGTGTTAACAACAGCTTCCCTTGGTGTTTCTCTTTTTAGCCTAACCAGAAAACTGCAACCAAAAATCTACACTTCCATAGGATAATTTATTGATGTGTGTTAAAGCAAACTTACTGCAAAACGATGCTGCTTAACGCCATATCTTTTGAATTGTGGAGCAGGATGTGCTGATTCAGCTTCCGAAATGCTGATCAAGCAGCAGCCTAGATGTCGGTCTAAACTTTCTCAAATTAGTGGGAGGAAGTACTTTAGTTGACATTGATTATCACTAGGGGTTTAGACCCATCCGTTCCATCTTGATAACTCAATCCAGTCCCCACAAAGTAAGTTATTTTTTAAATGGAACTAAGATTAATACAATGCAAGAAACTAATTAACCATGACCACATTTCCCACATACCTTGTGTAAAATTGCTTTCCTACAATATTAGCACTTCTGGTTGGTTAATGTCTGCCTGACACATTTGGAATATTGGGGGTTATAACTGAGGCAGTCCTCCAGCTTTGCTGCAGGGGCAAGGGAAGCAAATTTTTCTGTCAGCTTTATAGGCTTGGTCAAAAACAGCATACACTTTGAGCATTTCATCAGAATTAAACTGTAATCTGTTTTCAACGGACACACAGGAAGCATAATATTTTTCTCATTCTGCTAAGTTAATCTACGTGAACGTAAATTGTGTTTAAAATCATGCCTTCCCCGTCCCCCCACCCATTTCTTACCATGCTTTGTCTGTGCAGCTCATTACATTGTCTTCCACCCACCTCCCCCACAAAAAAAACTTAAAGACGGTTTGTAAAGAGGCCGTGATTATAGCCGTCAATGATTCAGTTGATAAAGGATGCGCATGATTAATCATGGAGTGTACAATATTTGACTCCTGGTATTTGCCAAGTTTGCTGATTTTTGTTTTGTTGTTGTGCTGCCATAATTGTCCTCTGTATCCTGGCCAACAGAAATGCAAAATTGCCTGAAGGTGCTAAAACTTGAATGTGTATCCTGCTGAAATTGCATTTGATAGGGACTGAGTCCCTAAGAATGGCCTGGGGCTGGTGTGTAAGAGGTCTGCAGAACTGCATCTTGGCGAATGTCAAAATTTTTAAGAGGAAAGAAGGGTAAACGTTGACAGACAGCAGCAATATATTAGAACTGGGATTCATAGCAAGTGTTTGTGTCAAATCATGAGGGGAGAGAAGGAAAACTACTGAATGTCCGCTTCTTTATTCAGGAAATAACTGGAATCTGGAGCCATGGGTGCTGCACTTTGTTTAGATTTACATATAATGAACTTATCCACTGTGATATTAAAAGGAAACCAGATACTTTGACATCTGATGATTTTAAAATGATTTCTGGGCAAGATAAAGATGAAACCTAGCTAATTATCCAATGGTAATGGCTTACGTTTTTCAAAACAAAACACATTATGAAGTATGCTGTTTTTTGCCCCTTTTCCTGAAAGTGGGTGAATTGGAAGGAGGCAACTGATTTCTTTACTTTCCTCTTCCTCTCCTCCCTCACCATAATTGCACTGCACTAAAACCAGAAAATGTAAGCAAAATACATCTAAAAGAATTTGAAATTTGTTTCTGTCTGGGACATGTCATTTACCAATTTGGTAGTCCTCATTTCAGTTGTCAAACATGACTGAAAATTTCTGATACTACCTTGATGGGCAACCCGTGTTACATTCACAAACAGGAGTTGCTGATGGTATTCTATTCATGCTTCCTTCATCCTTTTGATTGGAGTGCTAAATCTGTCACATTATTGGTGACCACATTGATGTTGAGAAACATTGTTGGAATTAACCCATGGTACAATGTAACACAACACTTTATATAAATGCAAAATAACAGAGCAACTTTTATTCAATAGAAAACTGCAGTTTTCCTGTGAAGCCTCGCTCTTTAAGTCACCTATTCATAAGAATATTTTCTTTATCGTTGCCATCCAAGTACTTACCCACTGTCTACATTTTCAGAGAGGCAGCTTAGAGCTGGGAGTCATGTCAACCAAAGACCAAACACTTCATTCCATCTTTCTTGGTCTGCTGCCATTCTCACTGTCCTCAGCATATCTTCCTTCATGTCCAACTTTGATACAGGGAAATAAATTCCATTGCAGCATTATACTCTCATGGATTGTTGTAATGTCACATCAAGCTTTCATAAATCCATTGGATAACAGCTGCGTAGAATTCTTTCACTCATGCCCTCCGAACAAGCAACCCAATGTTATATAAAAGGCACTGATGTTAATTTGATTTCAAATAGTGTTTTTGGTATTTTCCATAAGTAGCATTTGAAATATTTCCAATAAATTCCATAGGAAGTTTGGATATTATTTCTGAGGCTGCAACATAATTTAAAGAAATCTGGGTAATTTCTCAGACCTTTTGGGCTTTCTATATCGTGTCTAATTTCCATTGTATGATATCTAAGGATTGTAAATCATGTTAATATTTCTGTGTTTAATTCTTTTGTAAAGCTGAATTGTTCCAGAAATGGGTTAAGGCAACTAAGATAATTCTGGCCACTTGGCAAAAGCTTCATACCTGTTTATCTCTGTAAAAATAGTTAACATTGTAAAAAAAAATAAAAAGCTTCTCTTTAAAGCTGTGCAGACAACAAGATCTTTTGTGAACAGTTTTGGGTCAGAATATTATTTCACTGCTCCCAGCAGAGCACGTGTTAACACAATTCTGATGAGGCACAGATCTTCATTCCAGTTCTATAACTGCAAAATATTTGACTTCATTGATCTATATTTCCTCTTGTTTTCAGTGAAGAGATGAGTGAATTTGCAAGAATTTTTTAAAATGTGTTCATTCATTGAATATGGACAAGGCCAGCACTTATTACCCATCCCTAATTGCTGTTGTGTAGATGTTGGTGAGCTCCCTCTTGAATCACTGCGGATCATGTGGTGTGAGTAGATCTATGGTGCTGTTAGGGAGAGCAATGTGACCAGACCCCACAACTTAACAAAGGATATCTTCATTGTGAAAACAGGACTTTGTCTCCACAAGGACTGTGCGTTGGTCACTCCTACAGATACCGTCATGGATAGATGAATTTGTTGCAGACAAATTGGTGAGGATGAGGTCAATTAAATTTTTTCCTCTTGGCTTCCCCACCACCTACTGCAGAATTTGTCTAGCTGCCGTGTCCTTTAAGACTCAGCCAGATCGGTCAGTAGTGGTGCTACTGAGTAGTTCTCAGTGATGGACGTTGAAGTTTCCCAAGCAGTGTATGTTCTATGTCTCTGCCACCCTCAGTGATTGTTCCAAGTGGTTTTCAGTATTGTACTGATTCATTTGCTGAAAGGGGAGGGGCACTCAGGAATGATAGGTGGAATCAGCTGGAGCTTTCCTTGCCCATATTTAACATGTAGCCATGTTGAGAGGTCATGTTGCAGTCGTACAGGACGTTAGTTCGGCCACTTTTGGAGTATTGCGTGCAATTCTGGTCTCCCTACTGCAGGAAGGATGTTGTGAAACTTTAAAGGGTTCAGAAAAGATTTACAAGCATGTTGCCAGGGTTTGAGCTATAGGGAGAGGCTGAATCGGCTGGGGCTATTTTCCCTGCAGTGTCGGAGGCTGAGGGATGACCTTATAGAGGTTTATGAAATCATGAGGGGCATGAGACAAGTCTTCCCCCCAGAGTGGGGGAGACCAAAATTAGAGGGCATAGGTTTACGGTGAGGGGGGATAGATACAAAAAGACCCTAAGGGTAACTTTTTCACGCAGAAGGTGGTGAGTATACGGAATGAGCTGCCAGAGGAAGTGGTGGAGGCTGGTATGATTACACCATTTAAAAGGCATCTGAATGGGTATATGAATAGGAAGGATTTGGAGGATATGGGCCGAATGTTGGCTAATGGTACTAGATTTATATAGGATATCTGGTCGGCATGGCCGAGTTGGATGGAAGAGCCTGTTTCCATGCTGTACAGCTCTATGACTCAGTGACTTTGTACAGTTCAGAGTCAATGTTGATTATTCCAAGGACATCTGTTCCTCTACAGTCTCTGATAGTGGTATCTGGGACATTGGATAGTTAGATTCCTTGACTGCATTAGTCTATTGTTTGACTCATATGTGCAACAGTTCTCCCAATTTGGCCCAAACCCCTAGATAGAGAGGACTTTGTAATGTCGACAAGGCTGGGCTTGCTGTTGTCATTTGCTATGTCTAGGTCTATGCCAAGTGGTTCATCTGGTCTTCACATTTACCTCTTACCTCTTTGACTTTGTAGTGGTTTGGTACAACTGAGTGGATGGCCATGCCATTTCTGTTCAGTGTCAAAAACGTTTCTGGGTGCCTGGAGTCAAGTGAAGACCAAAACAGGTAAGCACAACAGATTTTCTCCCCCAACAGGTGAGTTCTTATGACAATCAATGACATCTTCATGGTCACTATTACTGAGACAAGCTTTTAATTCAAGATATATTCATTAATTCTAACTCCACCAGCTGCCTTTTGAACTCGTGTCCCCAGGGCATTAACCTGGCCCTCTAGATTACTGGTCCAGTGATTAAATTTTAGAGTTGTCTAGTTCATCAATTGGTCCTGACAAGGCTCATTTGAGAGAGTAAATTACTGCAGATACTGGAATCTGTACTGAAAGCAACAAATGCTGGAAATCTCAGCGAATCAGACAGCATCCATGGAGAGAGAGAAGCTAACGTATCGAGTCTAGATGACTCTTCATCAGAGCATTGAGAGTTGGCTGGGTCTTCATTTGGAGTTCTATTTCCTTGTGTACCAATCATAGAATAGAAAACATAAGATCGCCTGTTTTTGTAAATAAATTGACAATTTCTTGTCTTTCTATAACTCTGTGAAATAATGCCCTGAGGCCTTTCACAGACGCATGTTTAGATAAACATAAACACAAGCTGAAAAAGGAGCTACTGTGGACAGCAATCGAAAACTGGACCACAGACAAGTTTCTTAAAAGTAGTAGAGAATTTGGGGACCTAATTTCTAGATTCCACCTTCACCGGCTGTCTTCAAGAGTGTTAGTTTTAAAAGTGTTGGGCCTTGATTGCAAATTTTTATATGGCATTCTTCACTCTATCCAGTTGACTTATTTTGATTCACAGATCTCCTCCCATAAGGCATAGTGACTTTAAAATTGAATTCTTAGGCTAATCCTCCTCATTTTGGTAGTCTCTCCCCATCTTCAAAAGCCTCTTTAAAACATGTTGCTTTATAGATATTGGGAAGAGTGTTGTTTTGTTTTCGGTATCTAGCTACTGACTCCATCCTTCCCTGGCAACAGTCTGAGGCTAAACCAAACCTTAGAACTGAGGATACTGGAAATCAGAAACAAAAAAAATTTGCTGGAAAGACTCAGCAGGTTGGCAGGATCTGTGGAGGGAAAGCAGAGTTATAATGTTTTGGGTCCAATGACTCTGTTTTTTGTTTTAGAGGCTAAACTAGTCTGTCCACAACTTTGGTTCTGCATTTGACCCCTGAGATGAGCTTCCAACCCCATTAATAAGTTTGCTTAGTTGTACCTCTATCATTGCTTGTTAATCACCTCTAAGTTCATCTGCTGTTAAAATTCTCATTCCTGCTTCTTTACCTCTAGGCTTAACTATTGTAATTCTCTCCTGGTTGGCCTCCCACCTACTAATCTCCATAAATTTGAAATCATCCGAAGCCCCTTGTGCGGCTAGGTGTCATATTTCATTTCATAATGCTTATTTAATGTAATGATCTTAACTGATGTTATTGCGGACAGAACCTGGCTTGACAAATCATGTTTTGATTTGATTTTAACAGTGGTCTCTCACTGAATCAAAAGCATGTAATGCTATAGATTTTGTTTTAACAATTAAATGGAAGCTTATAATGAAAGGAATGAAGCTAAAATAGACTAAACCAAATTGTCTACTTATAGGTAAAATTCAAATATTTTTAATCACACATGTAAAGCTATAATCCCAAAATACTGCTTTATAAACTGAAAAGAAGCAACAGCTTTTGTATAGTACCTATAGAAACAAAAGAAATGAATTAACAACACAAATACAGTAAATGGGTATGATCTTACAGCCATTGGAAAGAATGGTTGTAAGGAAATCAAAGCTGGGAACTAAATATTCAAGGCTATTTGACTTTCCGAAAGGACATACAGAATGGAAGGGAGGTAGGGTCAACACAGTGTGGAGCTAGAGGAACAAAGCAGGTCAGGCAGCATCAGAGGAGGAGGAGGAGAGTTGATGTTTCGGGCCTGGACCCTCCTTCAGAACCCAATGAAGGGTCCAGCCTTAAAACATTGTCTGTCCTGCTCCTCTGCTGCCTGACCTGCTGTGTTCCTCCAGCTCCACACTGTATTGACTGATTTCAGCATCTGCAGTTCTTGCTATCTCCTGGAAAGGAGGCGGGGTAGCATTTTTGTATAGGATGGAATGAGTACAAAAGCAAGAAATTATCTATGATCAGAAGATGTAAAATCCATGTGGGTGGAAGTAAGGAAGCAAGGGGAAGAAGTCTGTCACTGTTAGGAGCACTCTATTGTCCCTCTAACAGCTATTTGGCAGGGCTGAGAATAAATCAGATAAAGATAATGAAGGGGGCACATAAAAAAACAAAGCAATGCGTTAATCTTGATGAATGATTTGGGTGATGTTAATCTTGTAGATTGGGATAGTCAGATTGGCAGATGTAGTCATTAGAAAGAATTCATAATGTATGTTGGAGTCAAAGTTTCCTAGAACAATGTGCTATGGATCCAACGAGGGATCAGGCGATTTTAAATCTGGTGATGTGTAATGAGAGGTTTAATAATTGATGTCAGAGTAAATGATCCTTTAGGAAGCAGTGACCATTCAGTTTGAGGGGAAGAACTTGGATCAGAAAGATCTGTGCTAAGCTTAAACAAAATTAATTCTAAAGGCATGAGGGTACAACTTGCTGCAGTGGATTGGAAAGGGGTTTGGCAGCAAAGACAGTTGAGAAACAATGACAGGCATTTAAGGAAATAGTTCATGGCTCACAGAAAAGGTATATCCCGGTGAGAAAGAAGGACACAAGGAAAGGGACAAGCCAACCGCGGTCAACCAGGGAAGTTAAGGAGAGCACTTCATTGAAAGAAAAAACAGTGTGCTCAAGATTAGTTTAAGACTGAGGTTTGAGAAAGTTAGTTGGGAAAGTTAACTGGAAAAACACGAACCAAAAATAGAAGATAACCTTTGAGGATTCTTCTATATGTTCTTCTTTAAATATGTGAAAAGGAAGAGAGAGTACCAACATTAGATAATGAGGCTGGGGAAATAATGTGAAATCAGGAAATGGCAGATGAGTTGAATAAATATTTTGCATCCATCTTCACAAAGATACTAGTAACATTCCAAAATTATTAAATGGTCAAGGGCCAAAAGGAGGAGATGAAATAAACATTATAACTATCACTAGAGGAAAAAGTATTGAGAAACTACTGGGAGTAAAGACTGATAATTCTCTCAGACCTGATGGGACACATCCTAGGATATTAAAAGAAGTAGCTACAGAGATGGTGGAGGCACTGGTAGTAATCTTCCAGAAATCATTAGATTGTGGAAATGTCCCATAGGATAGGAAAACTGCCAATGTAATAACCTCTTCCAAGAAGGGACGAT